ATGATAAGCCTTATTATTACAAGTTAATAAAAGTCTCTATATAAATGAGTTTATTATACAAAATTTTCAAACTATGCAATATTAATGGAAACAACAATACATTTAAAGACTATAATAAGCCAGAATCAATTATTTTTAGTTGAAAAGTTTAATATGCATTACGTATATCAAGTATAATAATTTACAAACTGTTTGTCAAAATATATGAGACTTAAAATGATATTTACATAACCAAAATAATTACATCACGTAAACAATTTAAGTCCCAGAGCAACCTCAAAATACATCTCAGCACTGAGGACCCGGTGCTAGTCATTTCCATGCTAGCTCTCTATCTCCTCTAAGTCCTCGAAGTCAAGGTCATCATCTAATCCGAGATATAAATCTCGAGAGTCAGCTGCAACCTCAACACGTTTGATTCGCTCACCGATAACTAGAGTTAGCCTTCCATGATTGTTATGGTCATGATATGTAAATAGATATGTGAAGGCTACTGGAATCCTAAACGTGCCTCTATAGATATAGATACATATAGTGTGGTATATTCTACTTACAGGAAAGTCAAAAGGAATGCTAAAAAATAAGTCCATCTTTAACATGATAATATTCCTAGGTACATCATAAACATGGACAGCAAACTTAAAATAACATGTCCTCTTATACTCGTGAGGCACCGCCGTCCTAGTTTTCTGAAAATGTTAGTAAGGATGAACGTTTATTCTATCATTTATAAATCATTACATCATAGAATCATAGTTGTAATATAAAAAAAAATTCATTTTCACAACCCATTCACATTGCAAACATATTCACATATAAACAACTCAACAATTTATTATATGTTATCCAACTTCTCTTTCCAATATGCATTCTCAGTGCACTATGTATCAATGCCTCCCGCATTTCTTGAGGTCTTACTCAAATAGGTAAATAATCGTTAGTTAGCTCATGCACACAGATACAACGTATATAATAGTCGAGCCCCTTAGTAAGGGTATAGTCAAGAGTCTAGTCAGGAAATGAGTATAAAGCCATGTGATGCATTCACTCTCAGAAAGAATGTATACACATTCGCAAATTCGCTCACCACCCTACGTTTCTTTCAGATTTTTCCATCGTCTCTGGACTTCATATCCCAATGTATTTCTGTAACTATTCACACTATATTTATTCCATTCGATACTTCTAGTCATTCTGAAATCATTTCCTTCTTTACTCACAAGATTGTTCGTAGTAAAGCACTTCCAAACTAAGTCCATCTCACTCACACCATTAGAATATAATTTCAAACATCATGTTCTTCAAGCCAATATCATATTTTATTACAACCACGACTACTCATATACATTTTTCATGTTATCACATCATGATCACTCATCACATATTTCACGTGAACATATCACAGCCAATTAACCCAGACAATCAAACTTGTATATTCTCAGCTATCATTCATGCAGAATATATTTCAAACTTATACTGTCATAAAAATCCTTATATAATAGTGCTCCAATAAGCACAAAACAAAGATTTTAATAGAATGATAAAACAAAGCTCTTCTTACCTTGACGTGAGTATGTGGAGAGATATTAACGAAGATTAAAGTTCAACTTTGAAAGTTCTCTTGAGTACTAAGAGATATCCATGAGAAAGGAAAAATACAAAAAACAATCAGAGAAAACAAAGTTTAATCCAGAGGAACTTACTTAGAGTTGTTTAGATTTAACGTCCAAGCTCGGATTTTAAGAGTAACCGGAGTTTGAGAGAATTTTATCTGAGTAAAGGAAGTGAGAGTTCAGAGAGAATGAGAAGAGAATGTGAGGTTTGGAATGAAATAAAATTTCTATATTGAAAATTTCTTAAATACCCCTTAGCCCCGCGCGATTTCGCTTGAGCGATAGACTTCTCACCTGGGCGAGCTCCATCTCGCCTGAACAAGATATGCAGACAGTGATTTTCTAAATGATTTTCTGATATGCTCGTTTGAGTGAGCCCCATCTTGGCTGAGCGAGATGACGTCCAGAGAGAGAGCAAGATGCTTTTCCTATAAGTTTTCGCCTAAGCAACTCAGCTCGTCTGGACAAGGTGAAAGTTGAGTTGGATTTATCCTATCTCACTTAAGAAAGAATCATTTCACCTGAGCGAGATTGCCTTGAAACCTTATGGTTTTGGGCGTTCAGTCTCGCTTGAGTAAGATTTGTCTCACCTAAGCGAGACCCTCTGCACTAGACTTCTTCCAAAACTCTCATAATTCACCTCTAAATGCATTCTAATATTACTTAATATTAAACAAAGCATCATTTAATGAATAATGAAAATGAGGATATTAAATAATGTGTTTTCAACACTCAACGTGTTATCATATTTAAATCATACATGTATATAACATAAATCAAATAATAAGTAAACAAGTAAAAACAATACTTTTATTGAATTTCCAAATGTCTACATAATACGAGCGAAAACAATTCATACATATATGTAAACCATACAATCATGCTAACAAGGACTTGTCTATAATGTTCATTCTTTTAACATGGCAAGAAAACGTTTTAAGCAACAATCTCTTAATTTGTGGATCCAATTAGTACCAACATACTCAATAGACACTCTCTGGTTTTGTACTTCTTCTTTGACTAATAAGTACTTCAAGTCCATATATTTTGCTCCCTTGAGTACTTATCATTCTTAGAGATAAAACAACTGCAAAATTATTACAATACATCCTTCACAGCTTTTTTATATTGTCAACTATATTAATCTCTAAGACAAAGGTTTGCAGCAACAAAGCATGAACAGTGGCCTCAAAGCATGCCACAAATTCTGTCTCCATGGTAGATGTAGCAATAATGAATTTATTTTTCTTCTTTCATGAAATTGCACCTCCAGCTAATAAGAAGATATAACTAAAGGTCGATTTTCTCAAGTATACACACTCAGCATATTTTGAATTTGAGTAGCTAATCATTTCAAGGTGGTAAGATCTTTCTTTAAACATGAATATAATGCAATAACTTATTTCTATACATGTTTATACACGACTTATTCCTCTAAGAAGCAATTTCTTAAAAAAAAACTTCAAATTGAAATGTTTAAGTTGTAATGGGCAATCAATTTTACCATAATTGTCTTTCTGCAACACGAGCTAGTGTAATTATAATTCACTCTAAAAAGTTGTTCTATCACTTTAAAGAAGCATTAAATGACATGTAAATTATTGAAAAAGGTTATTTGTTCTAACTCCTAATTGAACGTTAACCTCTTGCTTGGAGCTAACCCCAAAGCTAATTTATACACATCAAGACTAAAAATAAAGTTATATTTAAAGATAATCTCTCTTCCATGAACTTGGATTTTTTAAAATAAATCAAGTTTAATTTTTTAATAATGTAAAGGTAATTTAAAATTTGACAACGGTTGTATCATAACTTTTTTCCGACCAATGCAATTATAATTCATAAACAAAATCTTAAATATTTAACTTGCTGAATAAACACACAATAAATACGAATAATTTTGTATTTAAAAATAGTTTTTATTCAATAGTTGTTTTATCTTAAAACGTAACTAATGCATATATTTTCGCTACTCTAAATTTTAAATCTAACTGAGTTTTTAGTTTGTAATTATGAAATTAATTAAGTAAAAATTTCTAATTTATAAATAAATATTTAACGTATAATTGTATATCTAATTAATTAAATTATAATTATTTAATAAAACTAATTATACAGCTAACTAAATTGCATTAAATGATTAAAAATAATATATAATATTATATAAATATAATATTAAAATTAAATATTATTTATTTATTATCAATTAATTATTTAAAGAATTAAATAATAAAAAATTAAAATTTTCACAAACTTTTTTACCATAATTTTGTCACGGACCTTTTAAGTTAGATGTTTGCTAACTTAAGAAAACATTGTATACCTTTTCTAAATTGATGGTTGTGATTCATCTGTGTGAGAGAGAATTCTATACACTCTCTCAATTTATAAGGTATCATAGAAATCGCCTTTAATATAAGGGACATTTAAAAAGAAATCTCAACATTTGCGGTGGTAAGTGTTGCCACAATAGAATACCGAGAGAAATTAAAAAATATTAACAATTAAAATAAAATAAAATTAGTATTTAGTTATTTTATCATTTTAATGTAATTCGCTATTTTATTTTTTTTGTTTTACTTTAGTTTTAATTTATTTTTTAAAATTTAATCGTTTAACTTCTTTATTTAAACCTAATCTTCTAACTTGAATAAGTTACTTTTCATTATCTAGATTTAATTACACCTATCAAATTGAAGAAGGAAGAGAAAAAAATAATGTAATAATATCAATAATTCTATTAACAGAAAATAACTTATTTGATTAACTATTAAAGTTAGAAGTTAATAAAAAAAAAATCAAATTAAAACAAAAAATTGTTAAAAAACTAAAGCAAAACAAAAGAAAATTAAAGAATTAAAAGACTAATTTTACTTTTAAAAAATAAGAATTAAATTATTAAAAGCTAAATATTACTCTAAATAATTTTTCAAAACTAACTTTCAAAATTTATATATTCATTTTATTTTGTTCACAAAACACTTTTATCTTATTAATCACAATCTATACTCACTCTGCAGCAGGACAAATATCATGCTCTGTGCTTCAACGTGCTCCATTTGCTAAACAGCCAAAAAGTTTCTGTAGGCAGTGTCCAGGCCCATCGCGGAAAATCGTCATCTCCATATATCTTTGAGTTAATTGGGTGACTAAATTCAAGAATCCATTGATTATTTTTTTATGTCATTTTACACAATCGCAAATACTACTAGTTTAAAGTTATAAATTAAATAAATATAAAAAATATAGATAGTTAGGGGACCCAGATTTTTAAATCGTTCGTAAAATCATTTATCATGGCTACCAAGAAAGTTGCACTTGACCAACCAATCACACGTTTTAACACAATTATCAATTTATAAATAGCTCACCTAAGCTTCCCAACTCTTCAATCTATTTCCATATACATTTTCATATTGATATCTTAGATCTATATACCTCAATTAACCCCTTGCTAGCTATCATCATGGCTGAGGAGAAGCACCATCACCACCTCTTCCACCATGACAAGGATGAGGATAGGCCTATAGAGACTGGCTATGCTGATGAGGTTGACTATAAGAAAGAGGAGAAGCATCACAAGCATCTTGAGCACATTGGGGAACTTGGTGCTGCCGCTGCTGGTGCTTATGCCTTGGTAATTAATTAATTATATATCCTTGCTGAAAAGACTACTGTTTTCATCTCAATCTTTTATCCTAATTTGAAAATTATTTATACATTCTTTTTTGTTGACATCATCGTTGACACTTCGAGCTAGTGCAAGTTGCTTGATTTTCATATATATATATATATATATCATTGCACAAAAAGAAAGAAAAAACTGATCATATGCATGTGTTTTAAATTTGGTCAAAAAATAAGATAAGAAAAATATTATGCATTATTCTCTTGTTCTGTCTATCAAATCCTTAATTGTAATAAATATAGAAGTAGTGGAGCAAGATAGTATTGATTCACTCCATCTCCATGTAAACTGTACTAAAAAAAAGAAATTATTTGTTTAGTCTTAAATTAGAACTACTGAGTATAAAGATTTTTCACTTTTCATAAGGCTTCAAAAGAAAAGTAAGGTTGATTCTCTATGCTGTTTTATTATAGCATGAGAAGCACCAAGCAAAGAAAGATCCAGAACATGCTCACAAGCACAAGATAGAAGAGGAGGTTGCGGCAGCAACTGCTGTTGGAGCCGGTGGTTTTGCCTTCCATGAACACCATGAGAAAAAGGAAACTAAGAAGGAAGATAAGGAAGCTCATGGAAAGAAGCACCACCATCTGTTTGGCTGAAGATAACAAATATAATCAATTAAGCTCAGAATGTGTATCTTTATCTTCCTATTCCAGTGTGTCTCTAAATAACTTTTGAGCCAGTTTGGAGAGTGTTTAATTCCATGGATTACTTCGTATATTTGCATATGTAATGTTTGCTATATCTTCGTTATATTAATAATAATATTGTAAAGTAATTTGAGATTATCTCGGGCTTTTTTAACTAGGCATGACTTAACACCTCCATTGATATGAACCCCATTTGCACAAGGGCTGACTTAGGATCTTTAGGGTTAGAACCTTGTAGAAAAATTTGAAAATTTAGTGATGAATTTCTGGGCAAATTAGGTGTTGGTCCATGGTGTTAAAAATGAGTGAAAAAGGAAGCAAAAACGCTGGTTTGGTGGTGGCTGGACAGAATTTTAGAAATGACGGTATCTCGAGTTATAGAACTCCAATTGAGGTGATTCCAAAACGAGGTGAAAGTTCTCGTTCTGAAATGCAATTTAGGCTCAAGAATCACTCAATTTGGCTGAGTAGAACGAGAGTTATGATAACGAGATAATTCTGGGCAGATTTGAGTTTTTTTTGGAACTTTGGTGAAGAATTGAATGGGGGAAGGAAAGAATCACTCTTTCCAAGGAAGGCAACACACAAAGGGATGTGAAAGCCCTTTGATACAGCCAAGGTGTTCTTGAATCACTCAAGAACTTAGGAGAATCACTCTCACTAAGATAAAAGAGATAAACTCTAATATTTCTGAATCAAACTTAACTTGTCTTATTGATAAGAATGGTTCAGCTTATATAGAAGCTTTACCATCAGAATTACAAAGGTTCCGTAACGGAAAATGAAACTACTTGATGGCTGATTGTAACTGAAATTGTGGCAACCAAAAAGTCACCCAACAGCCACTAGCTATGCGCCTCTTGGTCTTCCAAAGGCTGATGCCTAAGTTGCCAATTGGGCCCTTATTACAACTTGAAATAAAACCAAACCAAAGCCCATTAGTTGATTAACCACAAAACATAATTTGGTCAGCCAACTTTACAAAGGATTGGGCCATTATTTAAAACAAACTAAAAACTTAAAAACTGAAGCAAAGTGGCGCCTTAGTTCTCCTCCATTTGGGCCATGATGCAATTCACAACCTTGGTCTTTTCTCCTTGAAACTTGGGCTTGTATTCAATTAATATGGACAACACTTGTTGAAGAGCTTCTTTTGCTCTCCTTGCTCTAGCCCTTGTCATAGGTCCTCCAAGTCCTTCAAGAGGATCCTTGCCCTTGCTCATGGTCATGTCCTCATCATTCTCTCCCTCTTGAGAAGGATTTGTCCTCAAATCGGATTCTCCATCTACATCAAAAAGAGATAAGTCAGACACATTGAAGGTGGAACTAACATTATACTCACCCGGCAGCTCAATTTTGTAAGCATTGTCATTGATTCTTTCAAGCACTTGGAATGGACCATCTCCCCTTGGTTGAAGCTTTGACTTCCTTTGTTCCGGAAACCTTTCCTTTCTCATGTGCACCCAAACCCAATCTCCGGGTTCGAAGATAACCTTCTTTCTCCCTTTGTTGGCTTGTTTAGCATAGCTTTCATTTCTCTTCTCAATTTGATTTTTGACTCTCTCATGAAGCTTCTTCACATAGTCCGCCTTTGCTTGACCTTCTTTATGCTTAAAAACAATGAGTTCATCCACTTGTCTTTGGATCTCCTTGGTCTCTTGAGGGTTGCTTCTATAGGCTGGCCTATTAGGCAAAGAAGCTCCTGGAATGAGATCAATTTGATGCTCAATGCCTCTTAATGGTGGCAACCCACTTGGTACACTTGTTGGAAACATATCTCCAAATTCCTGTAAAAGAGACTTCACTCTAGAAGGCAAATCAAGGTTATCAAAAGTGTTAGTGGTCAAAACATAGTTTTTGCAAATTAACAAAAATAGGGGCTGTTTAGATAGAAACAAGCTCTTGACCTCACTTTTTGTAGCTAAAAAGCTCTCCTTCACCTCAAGTGTTTCACTCTTCTTTTTCCTCTCATGTGTTTCTCTCTTTTTGTCCTCACTTTTTGAGCTCTCAAGTGTTTGGCTTTCTTTTTCTTTCTTTTCTTGGACAATCTTTTCTCTCATTTTTCTTTGATCCTCACACACCTCTTGCAGACTTAAAGGTTTGAGCACTATCTTCTTGTCTTGGTGCATGAATGAGATTTTGTTGGTGAAACCATCATGATTGGCTTTTTTATCAAATTGCCATGGTCTCCCCAAGATTAAGTGGCTGGCCTCCATAGGAACAACATCACAAAGCACCTTATCATTGTATCTTCCAATGGAAATATCCAACTCTACTTGCTTCCTTACTTGCACCTCTCCATCCTCACTAAGCCATTGAAGCCTATATGTCCTAGGATGTGGCTTTGTAACTAAATTCAATTTAGACACAAGTCTTGCACTCGCCACATTGGTGCAACTCCCTCCATCAATGATCACCATGCAAAGTTTATCATTGATCAAACATCTAGTATGGAAGATGTTTTCTCTTTGGCTCTCCTCCAAAGGCTTCAATTGGCTACCAAGTAACCGCCTTATCATCAACAAGTCTCCCTCTGGTGTTTTCTCCACCTCCTCCTCCACGTCCTCATTCTCCTCTCCCTCTTCAATTTCGGACTCACTTATATACTCTCCATCTCTAAGAATCATGGTTTTTTTGTTAGGGCACTCATATGCATAGTGTCCTAAGCCTTGGCACTTAAAGCACTTCACATCCCGACTCCTTTTAGAGGGTTGCTCTTGAGTTTTTAGAGGAGTTTTTGTTGGTGTAGGCGCTGCACTAGAAGTGGCAGCCCCTTTTCCCTTATCCTTCCAACTAGAAAAACCAAAATTAGTGGAGCTCCTTTTGGCCACACCTTTCCTTTTCAATTGTTGCTCCACTTGGATTACTTTGTGAAGCAAGTCCTCCATTTCAACAAATTCCTGCAGTTCAACAATATCACGAATATCATTATTCAAACCACTAAGAAATCTAGCCATAGTTACCTCCTCATCCTCTTCTATCTTGGCTTGAATCATGAGCACCTCCATTTCCTTGTAGTACTCCTCAACGCCTTTGCTACCTTGGGACAACTTTTGAAGTTTGAATTTTAAGTCCCTAGAATAGCTTGCCGGCACATATCTCTTCCTCATGATTCTTTTCATTTCAACCCATGTATCCACCAATGGCTCCTCATTCCTAACTCTCTCTTTTTGCAATTTGTTCCACCACACAAGAGCATAATCGGAAAACTCCATAGCTGCAAGCTTTACCTTTTGGGCCTCTTCATAGGTATTACAAGTGAAAATATGCTCTATTTTGATCTCCCACTCCAAATAAGCTTCCGGGTCACTTCTTCCTTTGAATGGAGGAATAGAAATTTTGACTCCATCAATTCGGTTTTGTCTAGGAGCACCGTCATTACCTCTTCTCCTCTTTTCTTCTTCATCATGACCTCTATTCTCCAATTGGTCCAATCTTTCATGGAGCTCATCATTTTGTTGCCTCATCAATCTCTCCAAATGTTGTGTCAAGGCTTGCATTTGGAAAGGAGAAAGTCCTCCTCCTTGATTAGGATTTCCTTCAGCCATCACAAACAAACAAATTCAAACGTAACAAGCAAATAGAAAGTAGAATTTGAAACCTCACCACACTCAAGTGTATCACACAATTATGGCTTTTTCTCTAATGAAAACACTCTTGCCTTTTACCACTAAAATTCTCCTTGGGTTCTTAGGCAATTCAAGATATTATGGCCACAACAAAGAACAATCCACCAATATGTGCAAGGTAAGGCTAGGTAGACAAAGAAAAGGCTAACAAATCACAAAAACAAAGGGGTAAAGAAAAATTGGTAAACAAGAGAATTAGCAACAATCCTTTAAGAACACCAATATATTACCTTATAACAAATTGTTGAAAAGCATGAATCATTCAGCCCAAAAATTTCTTCTTTTTTTTTTTATACGATTTTTTTTTTTTTGAATTTTCACAAGGGCCTAACTTTTGCAATGATTCAGTACAATCACAAATAATATGAACAATAAGGTAATCAATTGGAAAAAAGAGAATGAAGGAAGGATGTTACCAATTTCACGTTCAAACCCTTAAACCGGAGCTCTGATACCAAATGATATGAACCCCATTTGCACAAGGGCTGACTTAGGATCTTTAGGGTTAGAACCTTGTAGAAAAATTTGAAAATTTAGTGATGAATTTCTGGGCAAATTAGGTGTTGGTCCATGGTGTTAAAAATGAGTGAAAAAGGAAGCAAAAACGCTGGTTTGGTGGTGGCTGGACAGAATTTTAGAAATGACGGTATCTCGAGTTATAGAACTCCAATTGAGGTGATTCCAAAACGAGGTGAAAGTTCTCGTTCTGAAATGCAATTTAGGCTCAAGAATCACTCAATTTGGCTGAGTAGAACGAGAGTTATGATAACGAGATAATTCTGGGCAGATTTGAGTTTTTTTTGGAACTTTGGTGAAGAATTGAATGGGGGAAGGAAAGAATCACTCTTTCCAAGGAAGGCAACACACAAAGGGATGTGAAAGCCCTTTGATACAGCCAAGGTGTTCTTGAATCACTCAAGAACTTAGGAGAATCACTCTCACTAAGATAAAAGAGATAAACTCTAATATTTCTGAATCAAACTTAACTTGTCTTATTGATAAGAATGGTTCAGCTTATATAGAAGCTTTACCATCAGAATTACAAAGGTTCCGTAACGGAAAATGAAACTACTTGATGGCTGATTGTAACTGAAATTGTGGCAACCAAAAAGTCACCCAACAGCCACTATGCGCCTCTTGGTCTTCCAAAGGCGGATTGTAACTGAAATTGTGGCAACCAAAAAGTCACCCAACAGCCACTAGCTATGCGCCTCTTGGTCTTCCAAAGGCTGATGCCTAAGTTGCCAATTGGGCCCTTATTACAACTTGAAATAAAACCAAACCAAAGCCCATTAGTTGATTAACCACAAAACATAATTTGGTCAGCCAACTTTACAAAGGATTGGGCCATTATTTAAAACAAACTAAAAACTTAAAAACTGAAGCAAAGTGGCGCCTTAGTTCTCCTCCATTTGGGCCATGATGCAATTCACAACCTTGGTCTTTTCTCCTTGAAACTTGGGCTTGTATTCAATTAATATGGACAACACTTGTTGAAGAGCTTCTTTTGCTCTCCTTGCTCTAGCCCTTGTCATAGGTCCTCCAAGTCCTTCAAGAGGATCCTTGCCCTTGCTCATGGTCATGTCCTCATCATCCATCCAGTAAATATGAACTCTACATATAGATCAATTGGTAGAGGTTGTTCTAATTTTACTTGAAATTTCAAGTTCAATTAAGTCTCCCTGAATGCAGTTAAGTGATTTCTCTTTCCCTAACATTAAACTTATATCAATGTCAAATTTCATAAAAAAAAATTATGCATTTGAGGTATTTATAAATCCAATTCCTCACATAAGAGTTTTAAATTAAATGATTACATTAATGAAATTTAAAAAGATTGTTTTAATAATCTCAATTGAGTCTAACCCGTCTGTATAAACAACAAACAATGCTAGTTATTGAATTAAGATCTCTCAATGGAAGGTCTTCAGCGTGGTTGTCTAGCAGCGGTTGGGTTATATATGGAAATGATAGGTGAGAGACTCGAATGTGACGTTTACAAATTTGTGTAACTTGAGGTTGAATGCTTTTTCCATTATTTATTCAAAGTAAATCTCAATATAATTTTCAACAATATTTTTCCAGCTGATAATTAACTCTTATGTAAATGTAAATGAGAATATGTTGAATAATTATATATTAATATAAGAGTTAATTTTATAGAATAAATAAAAGTTCTTTATTTAAAAAATGAAGTATTCTCTAAAGCTATTTTCTTTCACATTATTTTTTATGATTAAAATTATTTTAAAAATAATGTGTGACTTATACTATTTCCACTGTAGTGATTTACTTTTTGTCAATTATTTTATTAATTTTATTATAAACTTTAAATATATAAAATTGCTACTTAATTTTCTTTTATACTTTTCATAAAAAAATTTATTTTTTTAACCTTTATATTTACATTTATATATTTTTTTTCTTATGTTATATAAATTTTTAAACAAACATTATATGAATAGTTCCAAGTACCAACTATTCATAACAAGAATCCAATTACAATTTTATATCCATTATACAAACTATTATTTGTTATTAAGTGATTATTTGTTACAAGTGAACAAACTAGTATTTTTCTTCATTAATAATTTAATTTTCTTATATATTTCTTATAATTAATTCCATGTTTGTAAACTCATCTAAATTCTATTTTTTTATGAGGAAAAACTTGTGATGTTGGTTTAAAAGTTGCTTTTAAATAGTGAAGTGTGTAAATTCGATTGAAAGATTATAAACATTACAACTTATCATGAAGAGTGCTGCTAGTAAAATACTAAATCATTGCCTTATAATAATAATAATAATAATAATCATCATCATCATCAATTCATGTAGACTTAAAAAGCAAGGAGCATATTTACAAATAAAAAAAAATGATATGATACTTGGCAGCATGAATGATTAGTATGTATGAAATTGGAAAGTTATTGTTCCCAATCACTCTTAGAATGTGCAGCAAGTGGTGCAAAAAGTAGTGGTTGAATTGGAAATGTTATCTACTAGTGCTGTGTGATAGATATTTTTGAAAAGTGAATAGTAATACAACTTTTTAATAAATGTAACTTTATTAGTTTATATTTAAAAATTAAAATCCTATTTTTTTTAAAAAGGAATTAATTATAAAGAATATGTTTAAAGGAATGTGTTATTAACATTTTTAAAAAATAATATTAAGTTATTTTACTTTTACTTTTATAATTATGTTTGTTATTAAATTAAATTATGAAATATTTATTATATTTTTAAAATAATAAATATATGTATTTTTGAAATTTTTTATTGAATATTTATGTTGTAAAATAGTATAGAATTATTAAAAATATAGATATAATGGTATAATAATATTTTTTTTACTAATGGAAAAGTTAGAGTAGTATTAACCTTGCAATAGATGCACTTAGCTGGGAGTGCATAACTGAGACAGGTCACCTACTGGTGGGACCCACTTGCACGTTCAACGTTTGCGTTTAGCCATCAAAACTTTAGCATAGCTGTGATCCCAAGCGCGCGGAAACCTTTCTGTGTGCATTTTTTATTTTTATTTTATAAAAGAAATCGTTTTAACGTTTGCTTGTGGCTTCAAATAAATATACTGGTAACATTTAATTGGCTGTTAATTAGTTTGTCCTAAGAATAAAAATTTAAATATATTTTAGTTTTTATATTTTAATTTAATTATAAATATTTTTTTTTTAGTTTTGAGTTGTTATAATTTTAAACTTCATTAAAATCAGATTTCTCATTTTATATTCTTTCTAATAATTAATTTATATATCAAATTATTAGCAAAATATATATATATATATATATATATAATTTTTTATATTATTTATTTTTATAAATTAATAAAAAATTGTGTAAAATATTTGAATTAATAAAAAAAATGTAAATGATTTATTTTTATTTTCATATTTTATTTTTGAATTTATATAAATTAAATTTACACAACACTTCTATTGGAAGAATATATGTGGCTAAGTGTTAGTGTCAAGTGTAAGAGAGCAAATTTTCAAGACTTTAAGAAATTAATCTTTAATGGTTGGCTGACCAATAAATTTAATACCTATAAAAAATTAGAGAGAAATTTCACATTAGATGAGAATAAATAACTTAAGTAATGTATAAATAATAAAAATTAGGATTTAATATATTCTTAATTCTTCAAAATATATTAAATTTTTATTTTATTCCTTATAAAATTAATTTTTTATTTTATTTCATATATTCTTAAAATTGTTATTTTTATTTTTAAACATATTAATTTAAATGTTACTACATGACATTTTTTGTGTTATTTAACTTTTTCAATTTTATTAGTGAGAGAAACTAAAATTAATAATTTTAAAATATAAAAATTAAAATAAAAAACTATAAAATTAAATATTCAGAAGAAATGCAATGTAGAATAAAAAATGTAGTCTTAACTTTGAGTTTTGATAAATACAACTGTATTAAATATTTGAACGAAGAGTTTTGTTGTTCATAATAGTTCTATTTAACTCAAACAAAATCGTTTCTTGTGAAAGATACTTAAAGTCTATACAAAAATAAAAAATTATTTGATTATTTTAAATTTTATAAATTTTAAAAGAGCAAATTTTTTATTAACAATAATGCTAATTCTATTGTATTAAAAAAATTAAAATTAAAAATAAATAATAAAAAAATTATAATTAAAATTAAATTAAATACTTAATACAGAAAAAAAATCATATGCATTTAATGAAGATAAAAAATACTTGAATGATGACAGTTGATTGTGAGATTGCTGGGGAGCTACACTTTTATGGTGGATCTTAGTAGAATGATGACATTTATACTAATTTAACCAAGATTAAATATTTGATGTTAGAATAAAAATAAAAAACGTATTAAATTATTAACCTAAATAAATTTATATAACAAATTTTAAATTAAGTTTTTGTTAAACTCAGCCTTTAGAATTGAGGATAAACAACTAATAATAATAAAATTTTATTAGAAAGAAAAGTATTTATTATATTTTTATAACTTTAATAAAATAATTATATATTTTTTTAATAAAATTTTTTTATTTATGAATGCTTAAACTCAATCTTTAGGTTAATAAAATCCTTTAAATTATTATAAACAGAAACATTTTATTATATCTTGTATACATCTATAACCAGGAGGCTTAACTCAATTCAAGTCATAGATTGGAAGAAATATATTTGTTTACATACAAGTACACAACTCAACCGGATTTGAAGGAATAGATTGCTTATTGAATGGAAACTGAAGCTAGGCAACTCCTTCTCATAAAAGCAAACTTTATTAGGTGGAAGCCATTAAACAGCCCATATAAAGCCTTCTTATAAACATTAATCATAACGAGTTTCAAATTAGAGCATATCAAAACAAAATCATGTATTTCTTAGTGTAAATTATGAATCTATCCTTATCTTCTGAGCACATTAGTCATATCATGGTAATAAAAGCAATTGGCATGAGAATACATTTTGGGAAAGAAGGACAAGACAGAGGAGCTATCTTCTTGGCAATCAAATTTAATATGCCTTTAATATCCAAATAACCATGTCTAGCTAGCTAGCTTCTGGCCTATGTCAGAGTTTAAAGGATCAAAATGGGAAAAAAAAATTAAAGAAAATAATGAATTCTATCTTCACCAGCAAGACAAGATGCTGATAATAAGACTTATGTTGCTGTTTATTAGACAGAAGTAATGAAAAACAGATATTTGGAGGAAAGAAAGATTATTTTTCATTACTGAAAATAAAATGATACACCTAACACTAATAGGAGTTTTCTACTACTCTAACTGAAGAATAACTAGTTACCTACCATAACTGCCATAATTTAAATGTATCCCATTTCTTTCCATTTAGCTTATTTCAAAGTATACTAGTACCCATTATACCTTATCCTAAAATAATTAAGATGTTTACATTACTAAATTTCTGGTTTGTACCATAGGAAAATCATGAGAATTGGGGAATAATGAATTCATTATCTATAAAGCAGATGCTGGGAATCCACTTTGACAACTGTCACTGTTAATAAATATGATAATTGAGTATATACATTAGTACTGATTAATTGACTCCTGATTACAAAATGTGGAAGCATATTTATTTGGTGAAATTCTATATATCCATAAATCCTAAGATATACTCAGAAAATGAATGCAAACCAATTTATGAAATGTTTTTATTCACTTTTCCTTGGAATATTCTTTTATGATACAAAAGGTCAAATTCATCATTTAACATAAACATTTTTTTATAATCTTTTGAGCATAAATATTTAAAAAAAACATACTTCACCATGTTTAAAACAGAGTTTATTGGACAAAAGTAATCACATTCCAAACACTGGCAGCACTTTATACTGATGTTGAATTTTTTTTCTGCTTTTTCTGTAAGCTTAATCTCTCTCTCTCTCTCTGTGTGTATATATATATATACACTATAGTTTTAATTGGTCATTCCTTGAAGAATGTTAAAAGTGGCCTCTGTTCAAAGAATTTAAATAAGAAAACAGAGCAAACCAAAATAAACAACGGACCTAGAAATTTTTGTTAGTGGGAGAAATCCCCTTTTGATCTATATACTTAGAAAATTTTTATGTATCTTAAAGTTGTAGTATGTTTTGTGCTTTTTCATGAGATAGGATTGGCTATGCACAGAAACATAATTCCATGCTTATTGCTTCGTGTTTGTGGAGACTTAGGCTAATGGGTGTTAATTAAATCATCCAAGCAAGTAGAAACCAGTAACAGTTTAACACAATGAAAATGAAATTGGGTGAAGTCTTATAGAAATAAATTGGGCGTGGTTTACTAGAAGTGGATTTTACTCAATCAAGTGGAGACAAACCTTTGTTAATTGATGGGAAAAGAATAACATTGGTAAGTGACACAAATAGTAGTGGAATTCCATTTCAAGAGGCCCACACTGTGTAAGACAAAATCATGAAGCTCACATGATAAGCTTTCACTTTATTCAACAAAAGTTTGGCTTTAGTCAAGAGAGCTTTAAAGCTTGGATGATTGTAAGGTTTTGATATCTTTAACTGTTAGCTTCCCGCCAAAGAAAGAACAGATACAAACCGTATAAGCAGCCTCAAGTTTGTAGCCCACAAGAAAAGTATAAATACTTATCCCATTTGTTGAAACCACACAATTATTAATGAGACATCGGTAGAAGCTTCAAACTTTATGTTTCTGTTCTATTACTCATTTAAAAATTTAACCTTTTTTATTTTACCCCTTTGCACCATAATTTTTTAATCCTTGTTCTGGTAAGAAAATATTATAGCACTAACATAGATGGATCTGGAATTGGGACTCAAAATCACTAAAACTAGAGATGACATTGCTTCCATCTCTGAGTATCGATTAGCAAAGGACAGAGCAGGACCCATCTTTCAATCTAGAGAAACAAACACTATGTTCATCCTCAGTGCCCATCTTAAAGGTTAGTCCACTTGTCACATTCTCATATAACTAATTTATTTTTATTTATTTTCTATCTTTCCTTTTTTTTTTCTTTTTTGTCTTTTATCCTTTATTTCATATACCATCGTAATTATACATGCAAACACAGGTTATAAGAAGAATAACATTAACATCAAGATTAGTGAAGATGGTAGTAAGATATCAATTAGTGGAGAAAAGCCAGTTAAGGAAATTTTGATGATGGGATGGACAATGCATAAGAAAGAAATTGATGTTACGGGGTTCACTAAGGTTTTCAAAATTCCTGATGGGGTGAATTTGGATAGAATCAAAGCTAATTATGATGAGGAGGAATGGATATTGCATATCGTCATGCCAAAATTGGTAAAAGGGATCTGTGGGGCTAGGATTGAAGAAATCAAGGAAGAAGAAAAATCTAATGGAGGAAGATTAGAACTAGACAAAAGTGAAGCTGATCACATTGTTGATGGTGTTGGAGAGACAAGCCAAAAGGAATCTAAAGAATCTGAAGTTCAAGCAATGAAGGACAGTGAAGATTTTAAGGAGAAAAAGGAAGGAGGAGTATCTGACAAGAAGCTTGAGGATTCCAATAGGGAAATGAGTAAAGAGACAATAGATGAAGTAGTAGAAAAATATAAGTTGGGAATTGAAGATGGAAATGGAGAAAGTGTGAGAGAAAAGATTGGCAAGGAAGGAAATGAAGTAAAGAAGATGTCAGAAGTAGAGCAAAATGTTGGTGTAGGCATCTCACAAAAAATTGGAGATACTATCCAAAAAGAAAAAGAAGAATCTAAGTTGAGGATTGAGGATGGAAAGGTTGAAAGCATGATAGAAGAGGTTGACAAGGTAGCAAATGAAGCAGTGAAGCCATCAGAAATAGAGAAACAAGTAGGTACAACTATCCAGAAGAATGTTGGAGATACAAGTCAAGATAAAGAGTACGAGGTTCAGGAAATGGAAGACAATGGAGGTTTTGTAGAGAAGGAAAAAATGGTATATGAAAAGATGCTTGATGATGCCAACAGGAACACAATTGGAGTGGTGATCAAGAAAGAAATAGAAGAATCCAAGTTAGGAATTGAGGATAGAGATGGAGAAAATGTGAAAGAAAAAATTGGTAATGCAGGATATATAGCAATGAAGACATCAGAAATGGAGCCAAATGTAGGTGCACATATCACAAAGATAGCTGGAGATACAATCCAAGGGGGTTCTAAAGAGCCTGTTATTGAACAAATGGGGGAAGCTAAAAGTACTGTTGAGAAGATGGGGAGAGAGGAATCTAGAAAGATGCTTGCTGAGGACAATGTGTCTACCAAGTCAAATCAAAAACCATTTGGAGAACCTAAGTCTGAAACTGAGAATAGACTTGCAGAAAATGTGAAAGGAAGTAGTATGGAACTACTGGAAACAACGAAGACATCAGAACCTGACCAAAATGTAGCTGATCATATTCCTAGAAACATTGGGGGTATAAGCCAAGAAAATTTTAAAAAATCTAGGATTCAACAAAAGGAGAAAACTGAAAGCATAGAAGAGAAGATGGAGGTAGGGGAATCTGAAAGGATGCCTTTTCAAGCCGATGAGGATAGTCAGAAAAACAGATTCATAGATAGCATCCCAAAGGACATCAAAAAGCGTAAGACTGATACTGAAGATGGAGATCAAGAATGTTTCGAAGGAAAAGCTGATAAGGAAGGATTTGATGCAATGGTAACAGTGAGGGAAGAGTTTCCTAAGCAGTTACCAAATGCAGTAACTACTGAGGAAAACAAAGGGTTGAGCGTTTCAAAAATGCAAGAAACTGAAGAAGTCAAAGAAGCAATGATCAAAAGAAAAGGCAAAGAGATTCAACATTTTGTGGGTAAGGGTGAAGGTGAAGAACTCAAGAGGATGCATATGAAAGCAAAGAAAGCTTTTCCGAAAGAACAAATGCATGAAACAGAAGGTGTCAAAGAACCAATGGTAAAAAGAAAGAGAAAAGAAATTGAATGTTTTGCTGATAAAGGTGATGGTGAAGAACTCAAAAGGATGCATAAGGAAGAAAAAGACGAAGGGACAATACAAAACACTAAAGATGTCAAAGAAGCAATTGTCAAAAGAAAAGACAAAGATATTGAGTATCTTGCAGAAAATGGTGAAGGTAAAGAACCCAAAAGAATGCATACGGAAGCTAGGAAGGACTCAACAAAAGAGACGATGCAAGAAACTGAAGATGTCAAAGAAGCAACGGTTAAAAGAAAAGGCAAGGCTGTTCAACTTTTAGCAGATAAGAATGAAGGTGAACAAACAAAATGGAGGCATATGCAAGCAAAGAAGGACTCAACAAAAGAGACAATGCAACAAACTGAAGATGCCAAAGAAGCAATGGTTAAAAGAAAAGGCAAGGAAGTTCAACTTTTAGCAGATAAGGGTGAAGGTGAGGAACCCAAAATGATGCATATGGAAGCAAAGAAGGACTCAACAAAAGAGACAATGCAAGAAACTGAAAATCTCAACGAAGCAATGGTCAAAAGAAAAGGCAAAGAGACTAAATATTTTGCTGATAAGGGTGAAGGTGAAGAACCCGAAAGGATGCATATGGAAACAAAGAAAGACTTAACAAAAGAGATAATGCCAGAAACTGAAGATGTAAAAGAAGCAGTGGTCAACAGAAAAGGCAAGGGGGTTCAACTTTTGGAAGATAAGGATGGTGAAGGTGAAGAACACCAAACTATGCATAAGGAAGCAAAGGAGGACCTAACAAAAGAGACAATGCAAGAAACTGAAAATCTCAACGAAGCAATGGTCAAAAGAAAAGGCAAAGAGACTAAATATTTTGCTGATAAGGGTGAAGGTGAAGAACCCAAAAGGATGCATATGGAAACAAAGAAAGACTTAACAAAAGAGATAATGCCAGAAACAGAAGATGTAAAAGAAGCAGTGGTCAAAAGAAAAGGGAAGGGGGTTCAACTTTTGGAAGATAAGGATGGTGAAGGTGAAGAACACCAAACTATGCATAAGGAAGCAAAGGAGGACCTAACAAAAGAGACAATGCAAGAAACTAAAGATGTCAAAGAAGCACTGGTCAAAAGAAAAGACAAAGAAAGTGATTATTTTGTGGATAAGGGGGGAGGTGAAGAATTTAAAAGGGTGTACATGGAAACAAAGAAAGATATAAAAGAGACAATGCAAGAGGAAATTGGAAAGGGAAATGAGGATAGTGATCAGCAGAATGTATTAGAGAAAACTGTTAAAGGAAGATTTGAAGTATCAAAATGTACAACTGAAGAGTTGCCCAAGCAAGTAAGGGAGGAAGATGGAAGTAAAGGCTTCAAGGTTGCAAAGATGGAAGAACAAAAAAAGTTGATAAAAAAAGCAATGGCTGAAACTGAAAGTTCAATGGAAAAGGTGGAAGGGGAAGAATCCAAGGAGAGGACTGAGAAGGCAGGCAGGGTTATTGGCAAAAACCCAGTAATTGAGACCTTACAAAAGGAAGCCGAGGAGTCTATCATTGAAAGGAAGCCCGGAGATGGACCATATGTACCTGACACTATGGTCAAAGGAGTATTTGAAATGTCAGGGACTTTCCAAGCAAAGCTTCCCAAGCAATTGGTTGAGGCAATTGCCCAAGATAAGAAGGATAAAAATGAATATGCTATTGTGAAATTCAAAGGAGAAGGATCCATAAAGATGCATGTTGAACCAAATAAGGCTTTTGATGAGGACACAATTGAAAAAGAAATTATAAAGCCAAAACTTAAAGGTGACCAAATAAATGAGAAAGAAACTGTTTATGTTGGAATATGTGATGGAAACAAACCAAAGTTTCTGGAGATAGGGGAAACAGCGGATGTCAAAGAAGAGGGTGGAAAAATTGAAGAGTATGTGAAGAAAGTAGATGAAGACAAATATGAAGAGTCTGCTCGGCCTGAAAGAGAGGGTCCTAAGATCCAAACAAAGGGAAAAGGCCAACTTTCTTTGCAGGAAGATATTAGTGAAGGAAGATACGAAGAGAGCAAAACAGCGAGAGAGTTTCCTATGCAAATAGTAGATTCAGTTGCAAATACAAGAGAGGGGCCAAGGGATAAACAAATAGAAGCAGAAGAGGACACTAAAACAAAGAGAGAGAAAACAAAAGCTGCTGAGTCTACCCCAAAGGAAAAAATTCAAGAGCCTAAGAGTGAAAAAATCCTCCTGGCTTTTCATGAAGAACCAGAGGATAAACATCCAAAAGTAATAGAAAAAGGAACTTTTGAAAGAAAACCAGAGTCTACAAAAGGGCCAACCACACAACCAAAAGTATTAAGTATGGGATATGTGGAGGTTGAAAAAGGAAAAGCAAAGGAGAAGACACAGGAGACAAAGATGCTACCTCCAAAAGTTCAAACCAAGAAGACTCGTGATTCAAAAACTGAAAGCAAGAACCAAGATATCATGAAGCCAAAGAAACCAAAAGAAGTAGAAGGAGAACAGACAGAAAGCACTATAGCTGAAAGGATGGAAACCAAAAGAGACTTGAAAACAACTCCTGAAAGAAAAAAATACATGACAACTCAAAATGTTAAAGATGAGAAACACAGGATACAAGAAGAAAACAAGATACCTAAAATGCAAGAAACTCGGGAGAAAGATCATCAAATTGAATTAGAAGTCGTCACACCTAAAATGGAGGTGAAACCTCCACCAACAATTGAACTAACTGCAAAAAAAGGAGTTGAAAAATCAAAGAAGGAAGAGATGTCATCTATGCCTACGGCAATCCACAGAAAAGAACCTCATGAATCATCGTGGCCAAGCAAGGACTACAAAATTCTAAAGATAGAGAATGTACGACAAGAAAAGGAGGAGGGGGAAAGGGCCATTCATGCACTGAAACCAACTATTTCCAAAGAAGAATTTGCACAAGCTACGGCTACGCATTTAAAAGCAAAATGCAATGTTGAACTGAAAGATGAGATTGATAAGCCACAAGTAAATCAACTGCCATCTCCATCTGAAGAAATGTTGATCATAGAGCCATGTGAATTAGATAAATTTAGAAAGAAAGAAAATGATTCAAAGGACAAGAGTTTCGTGAAAATGCAAGGTAGAAAAGAATCAAAGGATCCCACAGAAGGCACTACAGCATCAGAAGTAGTAGCAGATGAAGTTGTTGAACCATCAAACTTATCAAGCACATCATCCACCCAACAATTTGGAGTTGAAGGAAAAGACAAAACAAATGCTCGTTATGAAGTTGGAGGCCAAGAATCTCAAGATTCAAAGAAGGACTCTGAAGAAGATGTTCAAGAGTCAACCGAAGGTAAAACAGACCAAGAAGTTGAACAAAGAGAAACAGTACAACCAGAGTCCCTTGCAGATCAACAATGCATAAGCAAAGATCAGGAAGAATTCCATGGAATATACAAAATTGAAGAAGAAAAAACCTATGAGCAAGGAGATGAAGCCCATGAAGATTCTCAAGTATTAGATGAGCAAAAAGAAAGTAAAGAGGAATCCACTAGAGGGAAAAAGGAAGACACAAAGAGGTCAAAGAAAATGTTTGTTTCTTTGATCATAGCAGGATCAGCCCTTTTAGCTTCTGGAATATTTATGTTTATTCGTCAAAGAAGATCCACAAAAAGGTAATTTGTGTTTACTAAAATCTAGTTTTCCATTTTACTAAGAAAACCTTATATAGTGTGCTTGTTTTGCTAGCAGTGCTAAGTAATACTCGAAGTGAAATGAAGTTAATTAATATTACATACCAATTTTGAACTCAAGCAAATTGTGTGGAGAAGTGCATGTGGTTGTTTGTTTCTGCTCATGACCGCTGGGGATGATAATGAAAGCTACATCTTTGTTCTTTTGGTAAGCAAATTGTTACACATGACTTGGGTTTTCTCATGTTTGATGTTGTGAAAAAGAAAAATATAACAGCAAGTTTAGGGGTTGTTTGTTTCTTCTTTTTAAAAATGGTTTTTTGTTTTTAAAAAAATTAAAAAAAAAAAACTTGTTTGGTAAGTGTAATTTCTTAAATCTGTTTTCGAAAACTAGAGCTGTTTTCATCAAAAACTTTTTTTTATTAATCTATCTTTTATCTCCAGATACTCCCCTTCACTTCCTTTAAAAAACAGTTTATATAAATTGTTTTACAATATAGTTTTAAAAACTGAAAACCAAAAATACAGTCCAACATCCCCTTAATCAACCTTGCACAAAGAATACTGATTCTTATTATAGTCCCACTGTGACTGGTAAAAAGAAATATTGATTTATTCTTAAATTTTCTTCATTCATGTAGTTGATAAATCTTTTATGTTAGTAGCATAGCAAATCCATTCGTAATGCTGATCATGTTGAAAATCTTGGGAATGGAGTTTTTAATAGGACTGTTGCTTCCTTGTCTGAGTGAGGAGGATGTGTTCTGGTTGTCAGTTGCTTTGCTGAAAGGAGGGCTTGTACCTGGTAACTAATTTGTTTGTTCTTACTAGTGCCTTGTTTGTTTTATGGGAATTCTATTATTCTTTCAAAATCATTTTTTCCTCGTGTGCATCTAACTTTCTGATAATAATAATAATAATAATACTTATATTTCTTCACTGTATAGGATTTAATAGAGCTATGTATTGTCCATATATGTGCATCAGCATCACATGCAAACCTAAGTGTTTAAGTCATATTTGGGCCCCCAGCCTTGTATTGAAACATGTATGCTCATTTCATGTGTTGTATATCTATGGTTAGGTTGATGATCTTATTATCTTTTTTGTTTACTGCCCTTGTCCTGTAGGTGCTCAAGCTACTAGTGATTTTGCGCATAAATTACTTGAATTATTTTCTGAAATTCTTTGCTGTAGATGAACTCAGTTTCCTTCTAGCATTTGGTTAAGATTTTATTAATTGTTTTTAACTATGTAGTGACAGTTAGGCTCTTCTGTTTCTGCCATCTAATATTTTTTTCAATTTTCTTTAAATTTTTTCTTTAACTAAGAAATTGCACTGGTCGAAAATTTACCATTCCATAATATTCATGCGATATTCTACCAATGAACTTGCACACCGCATACTGAATTCATCTTATCACATTCCGTGTATCAAGTTCTCTTTAAAGGAGGTCCTGTGAGAATAATGTAAAAAATGACAAATTATATCATACACAAATTACGTTGGTTTCTATGGTTCATTTTGCATCTTGTTTTGTGCGTTTAATTAGAAGGAATGAGAGGTTATCCATGGTTATGCGTGCCACTGAACTTCAAAATATGGCAATTAAATCAAATATTAGATCCTGATATATGTCATTGTTCTTTGAATATTAGATTTTGACATGCTCCAAGTTGAAAACGGAAGCATGACCACAGAAGAATATCATGCCTATTTCAGCATATGGGCATTGGCTAAGGTACCATTGACAAAACTTTAAACACTTGCTGTTACATTACCATTTAATCACACACAAATATAGCATATATAAAAACCACTGTACCCTTGAAGTCAAAAAACCATTTGTGGGTATGTGTATCTACTATGCACATGCAAAATATACAATCGTGGCAGGTTTAGGCATGTCCTCTCAGTAGTAACTGGGTAGCAAATAGTGGCCTTGTGGAATAGAAATTCATCAAATGTAACTGGGGGAGGATTATTTTCTTGTCACATACAATGTTGAGTTAATCATATATGGAGGGTGTAATGGAAGCAAGATGCTTGGCTTTAATTAAATTTGTTCTTTCATTGCAATCATGCAAATACAACTCATTAAGTAAAAATAATGTGTCTAAGCTAGTTAGCTACTACATCAGAAGTAGATTGTCAAAAGAACTCGTGTTTACGATGTTCATCTGGACTTATTTATGAATGTATTGGTTTCAAGATAGAACTAGAACATGTTCAAAGCTTTTCTTCATGTACAATTCTCATAAAAAGATGCCATGATTAGTAATTTAAGTATTGAATAGGCCCTAGTAATAACTAGGCGTTGTTGTTTACAGCCATGCAAAGCCTTTAGGCCCTTAAACATTGGGTGGCCAAAAATTATTGTTTTAGGCTTGAATATTGTTGAAGTTGGCTTCATATATCTTGCTGTATGCATATGCATATGGTAATGCAAATAGAAAGGAAGATGTGATTTTTAAAGTTGGAAACAATTTTTTTCTGATTACAGGTCAGAGCTAAGAAGCTTCCAAAGAACTGTTCATAATGCCGAAAGTATTTTCTCTAGTCAGAATAAAAGTTTGCTAATATTAAATTGGCTAAATATATCTGTTTTTATCCCCCAAAGTGTATCACATTTTAATTTTGGTCCATATGAAAAAAATTCTTGAACTAACCTTCAATCTTGTAAAGGACCAAATGCCAATTTTAATACATTAAATGACTAAACGTTAGAAATTTAAGAAATCTACTAGAATTCAGCCCTTTCTTTTTTTAGTCGTGACTATAATTCAGCCTTAGAACAAATCTTATATAGTTCGGAGTTCAGAAGGATTAGTTTAGCTAATAATGATCTAAAACACTCCTAGAAAGTTTTTATTTTATTTTTTAATGTTGATTACAGAAATATTTTTGTCAATTATTTTCTTAAAGTTAATTGTTAAAAAATTAAATAATTTTTTTTATTAAATTTTCTATAAGAATGTATTGATAATATCTGATGCTACACTTTTAAATAAAAATTTTACTAAAAATTAACAAAAATATCCCTTTATTTCATACTATTTTCTGATTTCAATAACTTATGCAGTAAAATATATGTAAGAGTGTGTTATAAGATTTCTTAGCTACTAGCAAGCTAAAATACTTATATAATCAAAATAACCTTGTTTCATAAAGTAACTAATATTAATAGTTACTTTTAAAAAAATTACTCTAAGGAGTATTTCAACTTTTTAATTCCTATCCAAATTTATTTTTATCCTGATATTTTTCACAATATATCCTTTACTCTAAATCTAAAATATTTAATCTTTATTTATAAAAATTTAAAATTATAAAAAATTTAAAAACTAACATGAATTTTTTATTTTATTTAGTACTAATGTGTATCATATTAAATTTATTAAAATAAATTAAGTTTTTTATTCTGTTAATAATTATACAAATACATACATTATATATTTAATTTAAATACATTAAGTTTTTTTATAGAAATTAAATCTTCAAATATTATATTAGTGACAATTATAATAATTAATTTAAAATTCATACTTATAGTGTGTATTAATTAATTGTGTATAATATATATATATATATATATATATATATCATTTAATAAATTTTTATTAGATGATTTAATTTAAAAATTAAATGTTGGATTATTAGTTTTAAGTCGACAAAATTTTGCATTAATTTAAAATTATTTTTATATCTCAAGACTATTATAATATAAAATTTTAAAATATGTAAAAATAAAACTATTTAATTATATTCTTAAAATTGTTTAAATTTAAGAAAATTTGACTAAAATTGGCAAAAAGGGGGTTAAAGCCTCAGTGCCAATCCTACCTAATCCTAAAATAATCCATCCAACTTTATTCTAATATTAATGAAAAATAATTAATTAAGCCCTACACTGTTTTGCCTATAATATATGGGTCAGTTAAGGAGGATATTCACGAGTTAGCCCACCCCACTCCTTAAAAAACTCCTAAATTTTATTCTCAGTCACGAACTCAAATTCTAATTCCCTCTAAAGACTCCTAAATCTTACTTAAATTATACAAACTCTAATCTTAATTTTTTAAAGTCTTAATCCGAATTTTTGCCTAATCTGTAAACCTTTAAAGCAAAGAGTCAGAACACACATAATTAGCTTGTTGCGAACCTTTGAAATAATGGCTTTTTGACAACTCTAAATTTGGCACATAATCTATATTTATAATTTAACAGTTAAATTAATAAAAATTACATTATTTACGTATAATAATACATATAATTTATATCACAATAATTTCACATGTTTCATCCGTAATATATATATATATATATATATATATATATATTTTTTTTTTTTTAAATTTATTTATTTGTCTTTATTTATTTATATTTTGAATATGAAAAAATATTAAATATTTTTTAATAATATTTTAATTTATTAATGATAATTTTTGTCAACATTATTACTTTAGGAATAGTTTCTAATCCATCAATCACTGTAATAACTTTTAATATTTTTAATAGAAGTAATGAAATTAATTTATTTTATTATAACAATTGATAAAAATTAATTTGCTTAAGATAGGCACACTAATCTTAAATACCATTTAAAATGAGATGGAAGAAGGGAGTAACTTGTGTGACATATTTTCTGCATAAAATTGGAGAGATCAGCGCAACATTATGCAGAACTTTGACGCCGCCCGAAAAGACAAATCCCGAAATCGCTACAAAGAAAATGTTGAGGTTGTGATAAATAAGTCAAACCTTGACCAGATCCAAGATCCAAAAGCGAATGTTCTGGACGATGATAGTGGACTAAGTCAACGTCACTGGAATCCCTAGCAACACCACCTTTGCAAAATCTTAAGGAATGCTGCATCAACAATAATTTATATATTTTATTTAAATAATTTATACATTCTTCTTCTTTAATTTATACAAATCAACAACACATCACACCTTTATTATATTTTTATTAAAAAATAGATAAAAGTTTGAGATAAAGATAAACTAAATATAAGCAATTAAATTAGAAGGAGACTAAAATCACACAAAGATTAAAGTATATAAATAAAAATACAATTAAATCTTTAATGTTCAGTTATTTATAATTATGAAAATATTTGTTGAGTAAAAGATATGATGATACATAACGAGTTTTATCAAACTCTAACCTTCAACCTAGTAAAAGATTTAATTTTAATTAAAAGTTTAAGGAAAACAAAGTTCTTTCTCACCTGAATTATAAGTTTCTCTTAACAAAAGAAAAACTTGGAAGGTATGAACAAGGATAAGTTTAGCTAATGATGTTCTAAGACACTCCTCTGGAAATTTTTATTTTGTTTTTACTGTTGATTACAAAAGCAATTTTGTTAATTATATTCTTAAAGTCAATGGTTAAAAAAATTTAATGTTTAATGTTTCATTTAAAAAAAAAACTTTATCAATTTGTTACAATATATCACTTTATTTCATATTACTTTTTTTTATTTCAATGAGTTATAAAATAAAATATGGATAAAAGTATGTTTAATAAGACTTTTTGCTTTAATAAGAGCTTATTTTACTTGCTAGAATGTTTATTTATTCAAAATAATATTGTTAGATAAAGTAACTAAAATGAGTAGTTATTAATATTTTCTGAAACGTTATTTTAAGTCATCTTCAACTCCAAGCTGATACAGAAGTGTTTAAAATTAAATTAAATTATTTTTAAATTGATAAATCGATTTATACAAATTGAAAGTCAATTAAATTGAGACTAAAAAAAATGAAAAATTCATAGATTTAGTTTTATTTTTAATTCATAATATTAAAATTGAACTAAATCTTACCTATAATATATTTATATTAGTTTTTATATTTTACTCCTATATAAAATTTTAAAAAAAATTAATCTTATCGTCACTTTGCTTAAATATGAGGTACTCTTGTTTACTCTAGACTCTTACACTATTTCCTCAATTCGGTATCTTTTATTTTCACTTATTTACTAACAAATTCACTCTCTTTTTACCAGTTCACTCTTTTGATTAATATTTTTTCTTTGTTCTTATATTTCAACAAATCAACTTCAATTTGTAACCTTATTGAGTTACTAATTTAATTTAAATTAAAATCTATGTAAAAATAAATATTTTTAAAAAAAAGTTATAAAATTAAATAAATAAATAAATTCAAACTAAATACAAAAAATCAATTTTTTTAGTAAAGAAAAGCAAAGAAAACAAGAAAACATTATAATATGATCTCTCCCAAACATCAGTTCAGTTGTAAGATTCAATCTTTAAAATTACAATATAAAAAATTTTTTAATTTAATTAAAAAATTTACACAACATGTGTTATCTTTACATAAAGTATATTTGAGAATGATTTATCAGTGTTTTTTTTCAGCCACTCCTTCTCTGTAAATTTTAAAGATCAATTTAATTTGGTTTGAATTTGATATTATATTTAAATTGAATCACATAATTAAAATATATTTGATTTGAGTTTCTTTTTTATAAAAACCGAACCAAATCAAACGCTGAACACACATAGAGTTGAAATGCAACTTCAAGTAAATTTTAAAATTGTTAACCAAAATTCTATTTTAAGCAGCATTTCAACTTTTCAACTCTAACTGAAAGTATTATTTTGTTTTTATTGCTAATACTTTTCATAATCTCTCCTTTATTCTGAACCCAAAATATTTAATCATTATTATAAAAAAAAAAGAGTCAATTTTAAGAACTAATATGACCTATACTTATCATTTTTAAGAACTAACAAGATTTTTTTAAAAATTTTACTGAGTACTAATGTGAATCACAAATAATTATTAAAATAAATTATTTTTTAATAATTATTTATATGTGTGGAACCAAATGTATTTGTAAAAGAATTTAAGGAATTTGTGTGGCTTCCAAACTTCATTATGAAGATTCGCCTGTATAATTCAAAATATATATGTATTAAATATTTATATATTTTAAAATTTATAGTATTAATGCATTTTTAATCTTTATATTTTAGTTTATATATAATTTTAATTTATTTAATTTTAATTGTTCATATTTAGTTTTTTAATTATTCAAATTAAGTTGTTCACTCTTAAAATTTTATTTAATAATTAATATAAAAACAAAAAATATAATATATAATTAATTTATATAAATTTAAAAACATATAAAATATTTAAATAAAAAAATACAATTTATTATATTTAAATATTTTAAACATCTGTATTAATTTATACAACTTAATCATATGTCACACATTCATTATATTTTTGTTAATTATTAAGTAAAATTTTAAAATAAAAGACTTGATTTGGACAATTCGGAAATTAGAGAGATAAAATATAAATAATCAAAACTAAAATTGCAATTATACATTACAGATAGATTTTTATTAAGCTTACTTGTTTTTGTAAGTCTTGTTATAACGACATTATATTGCAGAAAATTGGAAAGAGCAGCACAATACATTCAGCAGAACTGGAACGCTTCCAAAAGGCAAATCCTGATATTGACTTTGAGATGAAGAGGTCAAACCTTGACCAGATCCAAGATCTAACTTGAATTATAGCTCTAGATGATACATGAAGGAAAGGACCAAGTCAACGTCAAACTACCTTATTTACTTTGACTGCAAATTAAATCCCTTAATAACTGATTCATCTCTTCGCGTCACATCTAAATCTAAAATACCCAATCACAACTTGGAATCAAAGGACCAAATAAGACAAAGAATACATTGATTTTTGTTATTGTTATCATTGGATTTTTATTTTCCTTTTTAAATAACGAATTTATTATGTTGTCACTGTATTAAAATTTGAAGTAAGATTGTACTAATAACATATTATGATAAAAAAAAATTCTTTTTGATTCGTTAATTAGTATCTTTAAATCACTGATTCACATTTTTCTTAAATAATTTGGCTCTAGGGATTTTTTTTGTTCAATACTTAATTTTGAGTATATTAAATGCATTTATTTTTAAATTTCTTAGTCCAAATGCTAGAACATAGAGAAAAAAAAAAGACTATAAAATAGAACTTTGTCAAGTTTATTATCCTTGGTGAAAACAAAACAATCTCATGAGTTTTTTATAACACTATAAGTTACATTTGCTAGTATGTTCCAAAATAGTAAAATAGCATCGTCTCAAGCACTTGTGATATTGCATTTATAATAGTGACTCTGTCAACAATCGTGTCGCAATTGTAGGGTGATTTAAAATATAAAGATAAAGCACAATAAAATATCACACACAAGACATCAGAACAATTATAGTCGAGCAGCAAGAAGCCTCAACACGATTTATTTCCAGTTGTTACTTAACACACAAACTCATTTAATATAAAATAAAAGTAATCATTATTTAACACTAAATATTTTGTAAAATATAATATTTAATTTATGATACATAACTACTATTTATTTATCTTGATAAATGAATTATTTATTTCTAATTAAAGAACCGAAGAGACTATGCATATATTTAAGTTTTTATTAGTTCCTCCTTCCCATTTTTTGTTGTTGTTTAAGGTTTTAGTATAAAAATTAAGAATCTAATCATTATTTTAAATTTTATAAAAATTAGAAAAGAATTTTTTTTATTATATCCTTTCTCCCTCAACATTAATTTTTCTCTCTCACTTATTATTCTCTTTCTGCAACTTTTCTCATGTCATAATCAATTTAATGTAGTTCTCAGTGATATCGTCCCAGTGATCAGTCATTCATCTCCACTAAATGCAATCATCCTTGTTTACTTCAATAAAACAAAATTTGTTTTAATAAAAAATATATGATTACTTACCTCCAAAAAATAGAAATATTCCACCAATAATGTAAAAGTGAGGTATCTTTAAAAAATAAAATATTCCTTGTCTCTCCACAAATGAAGAGAGAATAATGCAGAAAGAGTAGTTGCTAGAAAAATATAATTTTTTGTAATTCGCATGATAATTAATTAGGTAGGGTAAAATTAGAAAAAAAAAATTTTACTTTAATATTCTAAAATGACAAACAAATTAAGAAAAAAAAAAATACTAAAGTGACAAAAAAAAGTGTCACATAAGAGTAATGCACGCAGATATACCACCAATTTTAAAGTATCAGTGCATTTAGTGCCACTTGGCATTAGCTTAGCTAAGTTCCCTTTTTCTCATCATATTGTAAGTTTACCGCCATTTGGCATGCTTGGAGTTGGTTTCTGAATAATTGAAAATCTTGAAACAAGTGGGTAGGTAGACATAAGGAAAGGTTATGAAGGTAAAGTAGCCAAATGGACCATAACGAAGCTAGTTTACTAGCACTGCACAGAATGCAGCACCCAAATGAACACTGGAAGAGGATAAATCCATTTGGGGGAAAACAAACTCTCCACACCTCATTTTTTATTTACGATACTAGAATTCAAGAAATAACCAAACTTCTTGCCGCTAGAGCCATAGCTATGAAGCAGAAAATGCAAAGTTTCTTGACTTACATTTATTATCTTGAAAATATAAAATATATTAAATATTTTCTTTATTTAGTAATTAAGAAAATTTGTAAGAGGAAAGAATAGGAGGATTTAAAATTATTCATTACAATAATAGAAATTGTTTACATTTATGTAAACATTAAAAAAATTCTTTTCACAATGGTTGCAATCTGGAGGCAGTGGCTGCAATAACAGCAACTGCATGCTGAAGGAGCTACATAGGGAAAATGTATTGAATTACACATACTCATCAAGAACAAAATCAGCTATAATGAGGATGCAGCAAAAACACAGAAAATTGATTATACAATAAGCCACATCACAACACTAAAAAAAAGGGAGAAAATCAAACAGCATAGACCACAAAGGTCCATTTCAAATATCCTAAACCCTATACATTCTGTGTGGTTTAAAGATACCAAAATCCTCCCATTAACTTACCATATTGTTATCATGATCCTTAATTCAAATCACCATTCTCTCTTTGTACTTCTTGTTCTTTTGGTTCTTCCCAAAATTCAGTTATCTTTGGAAGCAAAATCAGGCTATGTTAAGCATCAACAAACAAATTATGCTTTTACCCTCGACCATGAGAGTCAAGCCCCTCAGTTCGGCTTCGCACAATTCTATGGAACACCTCCCTAACTTGGCGTTCCAAAGGGTCCAATCCATCCTTCAATGCTTCGCAAACACGCGAAACATCTTGCACTCTGAGCCTAATCTCCTCTCCTTTCTCCTCACTCAAAGGAAACTGCACTGAATCAGCCAACTCATTGATCACCCTAGCACACTTCTCAATCTTCTGAATCTCCCTCAACAAGCCACAAGAGTTCTTCCTCTCCCTCTTCTTGGACTCCTCCAAGATCCGCTCGTGGAGCGAGGTCACCGGGGCAGCCCACGAAAACTGCCGTGAAACCGAAAAATGGAGGTGCAACCCGCGGTCCTGGCAGGGAATTGCAGCCACAAGGGCCCAAATCACAAAAACCAGGATGCAACTCATTGTATAAACAGGCAATGCAAGGCCGTTAGTGGCCACAAGATCATTAGTCTTAGGAGGAACCAAGTTGTTCCCAATTGCTTGGAGCTGCCTAGCAGCAGACCAATTCCTTGACACACTCCAAGAAAGTGATCTAAAATGACTAAAGCTATTGCTTTGATGGTTATTATGGTGATGATCCTTGGAACCATTGTTTCTACCAAATGACCTGTTTCTATGCGCTATAGAACTATTAGAGTCCTTATCATCAAGCATGGCAATGGCCAAATCAACAAGTGCCTTCTTGGCACGGCGAAATTGGCCTTCACCAATGCTCCTCTTGTGGTCCAATGCACAAAGAACAATCTCCAACTGCTTCTGCCATTGCCTAATCTGTTCAACCCCATCACGGATCGCGTTGCACACATCAAGTGCCTTCACACTCCGCTCAAAAAACTCAGCCACCATGCGATCTAAAGGGGTTTTCAACACATGTTCCTTGTGCTTCTGGAGAATCACCCTGAACTCCTCTTGGCAACAAAGGAACGAATCAAGGAGCTTCCTCACCCATGAGAGTGAAAGCAATTCTTCACTCCCAACAGAAGATAGCACCAAGAATCGTTCAGTTACTTGTCTCTGAAACATATCAAGTTCTTGTTCCATGCTTGAACCTTCCATGGAGTGAATCTGAACTCCACGAAGATTCAGAACAGAACCTTGGTATTCTGCGGTAGTGCGCATTCTCACATACACAACAGGATCACACACAACCCTTTTACTCTCTCTCTCTCTCTTTCTTTCTATAAACTACACCCAACACAGTTTCACAGACCCAGTTGTCAAAATCTAAAATTGGATCAAAAAGTTTGAGTTTTTCTTTCCAATTTGAAAACTTTAATCGCTTCAGTTTGAAAGCCAGGGAAAATTTCACAGACCCATTTCCCAGAAAGTGGAATCTAACTCAGAAAGGGAAAGTGTAGCACTTCAAATTGGAAAAACACCAGAAAAGAAAATCCAAATTGGGTTCGGACCCACGAAGGAATTGGAGAGTGAATTGAGAATGCAGCAAAAAGTGAGAAACTTGGGAGAGAAGAAGAGAAAGAGAGGGAATGAGACGAGGTGGTGTGCTTTGGAACCCTGCAGAGAGGGGATATATTGGGGGATAATGGGACCGCGTTTTATGGTTGTTGGAAAACGAAAAAAAGAAAAAGCTTTAAAGATAATAAAATAAAATATTAATTTTCTTAAAAGTTACTTCCATAAGCGGAAGTGAAAACTCGGATAACTTAAATTCTAGGTGATTAGTGAAAATTAAGGTTGCGTGCATGACAAGCTTCTTCTCGCACTTCACACGTTTCGGACACGGTGCCAAGAGCATGAATACTGGTTTCTGAGGGAAGGGATTCACAGGATCAACGTCCTCCAAAAAACGATGTTACCCTCCAACATACTACTACTGACTCTGATAATTTTTTAAAATTTTAATTTTAATTATTAAAATTGAGTTTAAATAATTAATAACAATAAAATTTTATTTTTATTATATTTATGTATTTTCAATATAATATTATTTTTATATATTTAAAATTGATTTTAAGAGTTAAAACTAATAATATTTTTTAGTCAATTGTTTGCTTATTTTTAAAACAGCAACACAAAAGTAATATTTTTTTATTTTAAAAAGTCGTATGAAAAATAAGAAGTTAAAAAAATTAGATCAAATGGTATTAACTATTAAACTTAGCAAAATGATACTCTGAATAATTTTTTATTACAAAATTATCAATTCAACTATTAAACTTAAACTCTGATAAAATAAATTAAATATATGAATTTCAAATGAATTGAATTTAATTAATATTTTCATATTTCACATTATTTTAACATATAGTGTGTTATTTAAAATAAAAATAATATACTATATAAATTTTTAAATTACGTGTGTGTGTATATATATATATATATGATTATATCACGTAATAATATAACTACTTTTATGTATAATTTAATAATTTTATCTTATAAATTATATCTTTAAAAAATTAAATTAACTCAACGAGTAAGACAAGAAAAACGAGAATAAAAACGAGTGAAATGCATTGCATGAAATTAAACCTACGCACTCACAGCTCATATCATGTAACATAATTAACTAAATTGACTTACTTTGAATCCTCGATGAAAATGGTTAATATATTTTATTGAATAAATTTTAAGCTACAATTACTTATGAAAAACTAAAAGGAAATTTAATATTTGGATATAAATAATTTTGCATATAATATTAAAATTTAAATTATTAACCTTGTCGAATAATGATCTTTAATATTATAATTAGAAGTGTCAATTCGAATTATCTATCCCATTTTAAACCGACTCAAATAGGATAACACATTGACAATTATTATGTTTAAAAAGCTTGGAATAAATCAAGCCTTTAAAATATAGCCTAAGTAATTGACTTCTTTTAGGATATTTAAAAAAATAGTTTAAATATTTAAAATAAACATTTTAACTCATCTGTCAATTGTTTAACTTCTTTGTGAAAATTTTTGTATTTTTAATTATAATTATCTTAACATTTTAACTCATACTTTTGAATTAAATATTAATTATTTTAATAAATTTTAATAAAAATAAATTAATAATTTTAATTTAAAATAATATTTTAAAAAAGTATATTCCCTTGAAAAGAAAAAGTAATTAAAGCTATGGCAGGCTAAGCTAGCCCATCTAAATCTATGTGGATTAAAGTCTAAATGAGATAAATCAAATTAAAAATATTAAATTTATTTGTTATTTTAATTTTAATGTTTTAATTTTTCTTTTTGCAAATATTTTTAGGCTTACTTATGAGTAAATTCATTTTTCAATTTTAATTATATTTTATAGTTTAAAGTATATGATGAATTTTAAAAGAATTTTTAACAGAAAAAGTGCACATATCAAATAAGGGAGAAAGACAGATAACTTCATACAATAAAAATTTTTCCTCCATTTTTTGAAATAATTATCATTTCAATAAACTTTTTAAGACGTGTATCGTTTTTTATATATAAAAATAATACTTGATTGGTAAAATATCTTAATATTCAAAAAATACTTTAAACACCAATCATACATACAAAAAAAAAAATCATAGTATTTGTTTTTTTTTTATTTTGAATACTTAAATCTAAAATTGAATTTAAAAAACCATATTCCATATTATCCTATTTAAAAATAATTTTCGATAAGATTTTTCATTTTATAAATATATGGTTCAAAAATCGTATATTATATATATATATATATATAACATGACCCCACACTATCATTAAGCAGAAGAAAGGAATAAAAAGAAAAAAAAAAGTTGATATGAACCACACACCATCATTATAATCTAATATTAATTTTTTATTATTGATATTCTCAATATCTAGTATATGAGTATAAATAAATAAATATGCTAAAATACATTTTTCATATATTTAAATTAATATTTATTATTATTTAATAATAACATGATCTATTTTCGATTAAATTACATCACATATCGTTTTAAAATCATCGATTATTTTACTATTGACATTAATGGTTTAAGTTTACTAAATAAAAATTAATAAAATCATTCCTGGTAATTAATTTATTTTATTCATTATTAAATGACATATTTTGAACTAAACACTCGATATTATAGTAAAAATAATTTAAAATTATTAAGTATAGTTAAAATATATTCGTAAATTAATTTAAACTATATATTTACTTCAATTAATTTGAATTGTATATTTAAAATGAAGCACATATTTTATATTCAAAGAACAAAAATATTTTTTTATTTTTATAAAAAATATGAGCTAAAAATATATTTATAAAGAGTAAAGATATTTTATTTTTATTATATTTGAAAAATAGTGATAGCATTAAATGAATAAATATAAAAATGGTTTTGTTGAAGTGTTGAATAAGTGGGGATGAGAGGCAGTACAGTTGTCTAAGGGGGTGTGGGCAGTGAGGGGACTGCGTGTACACAAGTTGGGGAACTGTTATGCGTGGAGGATCATAGAGTGGGTCACGTGGTTTCAAGAGAGTGGGTCACGTGGTTGCATTCTACAATTACGTGTCACTTTCTCTTTCATAGTCATCATCATGCTCTTCTTCCTCCATCAAGCTATTCTTCTTGTAATTATTAGTTAAGAAATTTAAAACATTTTTATTCAAAAGTATAAAAAATTTACTGATATTATTTTTATGTATTTTTTTAATTAATATCTTAAAAAATACTATGTGGTATAAAAGCTATTCCAATAAGGTGATGATTAATTTTAGAGTTATTTTAATAAATAATTGACAAAAAAAAATTTTAATGAATAAAAATGCTATTTAAAAAATAATTACTGATTTTAATAAAAAATTAATACTTAATAATTAATTTTTATATTATAAATGAAATTTTTGTTTAAAAATTAAATATTCAGTAAAGTTATTCTCCTTCTTAATTTGTTATGTATATATTTTAAGATTTAAATTAATTAAAAATAATGTATAATTTTCTATTTTATTGTAATTATTTTATTTTTTATTCATATACTTATTAATTTTAATTTTAATTTATAAAATTAAAATTGTTACTTAAACTTTTTATTATATTATATAATTTTTATATTTTTTTAAAAAATTTAAATTATAATTATTAGTAATTTAAAAATAAATTATAAAAATTTATAATTTTATTTTTTATCTAGACCATATGTATTCTCTATCACCCTAGCATAATTTTATGAACAGTCATAATTTTTTTAAAAATAAATTATAAAAAATCATATTACATAATAAAATATTAACATTAAAATTTAACTTCAAATATTAAAATAAAATTTTAAAAAATTAGAGGACAAATACTTATAGTGATAAAAAAAAAGTTACATCTTAAAGTGTCTTTATTCACAATTAAAAGAATTATATAATAAATTTTTGTTAAAATAAAATATAAATATAATATTTTAAATATTTTTTACACTATTTAATCAAAATTAAAAATTTATTTCAATAAATCATACAATAAAAGTTAATATTAATTATTAAAGTGGATCTGTTGAATTCATTAACCCAAATTTAATCTATACGGGTTCAACCTGATTTTACATATTCTAGTTTAAATCAAATTGTAAAGATTGAATATAGCCCCACATTTACAGGAAGAAGAAACACACTTTAGAGAAAAGAATCTGAATCAAAATTATTCAGAAAGAAACTTCTTTGTTTTATTTAGAAAATCAACTTTGAGATTATTAAACAATTATAAATTGGTTTCTCATCATCTGTGCATATTCTTAAAATCTATAAACTCATTCACTCTTGAGCAATGTGATTTTCATCATGAATTTTACAAGGGTATCCTAAGATATTAAACAATAATTTTTCATAAAAAATAATGTATTTATTATATCAATAATTTTTAATGTATTTTTTAAAATTTAGGTAAATTTAGTGTCATAGAAGTACTAATCTTTATTAATTAGTTATAAAAATCAATAAATATTATTGTTTTTAAATGCTTAAGAGGTTTCTTAAGAATTTAAACTAATAAAATTATTATTAATTTTTAAAACTGATTTCAAATATTTAAAATGTATAAGTATAAAATATATTTGCTTTATTAAATTATAAAAATTAATATTTTAAATCAAAATTTATTATTATTAATTTATTTAAATTTAATCTTAAATGCTGAAATTAATAAATTTTTTATTACATAAAAATATAATTTGAAATATTGATCACGAACTTTGAGAGATACACTTCTCCAATTTCAAGGATATATGACAAATTGGATACAGTGACTTCGCTGGCAGCTCTCCAAATTGTTGATAAAAATCTCATTCCATTTTTCGAGGAACGCAAATTCTTAAGACTCCAATTTTATTTTGAAAGTCAAGACTCACAACTTAAAAAGAAGCCAAAGCCCTATTTTTACGATCCACACTAAAAAATTAAAAGAAAATTGTTTTCAGAAAATTTTTTTTTTACTATTATGCAGTTTAATGCAATTTTGAATAAAAAATTACTTTAAATTCCTTAATCAAGTCTTTAAAATACTGATCTACAAAATCCTTATTTAAATATCTTTTTAAAACATTTATAATTTATATTTTATTATATTTATTTATTTATTTTTCTTTTAATATTATACTAAA